GGGAGGGGAGGGGAGGGGAGGGGAGGGGAGGGGAGGGGAGGGGAGGGGAGGGGAGGGGAGGGGAGATGGTTCGTCATCACTATCATGTTATTACGTTCTCCCAATTTGCCTTTGTTCATGTCTTGTCTTGTCTTGTCCGCTCCTCCCGCCTCTGCCCATGGACATTCTTCCCGTTTGTTTGTTTTCCTCTCCCTCCAGTTGATTGTTGTAGTCACGTTCTTCCTTCCCTTCATGTTCCTCTCCTTGTTATCCTGACTCTGTTCGATCTTGTTCTCCCTAGATTGCATATTTCCTTATTGCTCAAGTGAAAGAGGAGAGTTCTCAACTGCTCCGAGGAGTTTTCACGCAATTCTGCGAGTATGCAGATGAATTTTTCATCTTCTCCTTCCCTTTCTCCTCGTCCTCCTCCCCCTCTACTTCTCCTCTTCTCCTTATCCTCTCCCTCTCTCTTCTCATCCTTCCCGTCCTCCTGTCCATTTGTGCTCACTCCTTCTCCCCTCTCCACCGCTTTCCTACCCTCTTGCTCCTACTCTCTCTCTCTCTCTCCATCTCTCTTCCTTCCTCCTTCCCCTCGTCTCCCTGCTCCTCCTTTCCGTCCTCCTCTCCTTATTTGTCCTCTCTCCTTCTCCTCCGCCGCTTTCCTGCCCTCTCGCTCCTCCTCGCTCCCTCCATCTTCACTCCTCTCCTACCTGCCGCTGTTCCCTTCCTCCACTTTCCTGTCTTTCCTCCTCTTCTCCTCCTCTTCTCCTCCTCTCCTCCCCTCCTCGTCTTCTCATCTTCTCCCTTCCTCCCCTCCTCCTGATCGCCTCCTTCAGGTCCATCGTCCCATACACGCTCGAGTTCAAGGAGTTCGTCCCCAAGGATTATCGCGAGACGATGGAGAAGAAAATTTCAGACCTCAGACACATCTGGTGAGGAAGAAGGAAAGGGGGAATGGAAAAGGGAGAGAAGGATGGTGAGGGAGCACGAGCACGAGCAGGGGCAGAAGGAGCAGGGGCAGGGCAGGAGCAGGAGCAGGAGCAGGAGCAGGAGCAGGAGCAGGAGCAGGAGCAGGAGGATGATGATTATTTTTCTGCAGCCTTCAAACCCTACCAGA